CTGCTTTCAGGGCAGGTTTTTACCATTTCCAACTCTGGAAAAAGTATTGCTAATTATTGGTATTTCCCCATGAAACCTTCATCTGGGCGCAAGGGTTAGGGAGGAGGAGAAGAGCAAAAGCTGAGAAGGTGGGAGAAAAGAAAAAAGATTTAAGGGGGGGGGGCGGTAAATAAATCTGGTCATGGCAATTCCTACTCTACCAGGCAGGTTTTACTTTGAATGGATATTATAACTAGGCGTCTGAAAGCTTAACCATCCACTGCTCTGCATATATGAATCTAATGTAAAGGAAGAAAACTAAACTCTCACATTTGCACCATTGACAATCAGGGTATTCATTTGAGAGGGAGGGAAAAAGAGACAGCAAGAGAGACATGAAGGGTGAATGAATATAAAATGTGCCTTTATTTCTGAGATCCAAGAATCTAGGTCCTTTCCAGTCATTTCAGAGACTGAAACTCTTGCCTACTGGCCAAGTTGTAGCCTAGAGATCTTTTACAGATTTGTGTCATTTCTAAACTCTCACAGGAGAGAGGAGGGAGGGGTCAGCCTAAGCTTAGTGCCCTCTCTCTTTCATACGGTTTTTCCTCTCTACTGCTCATCACTTACCATCACAAGGACTGTGTTGTTCCTGGCGCTAACTTAAATTGCTCTTAAAGAGGGCAAGCACTAATGATGGAAACTATTTTCCAACCTTTCAGTGCCCTACCTGTGCTAGTCCAATTGCCCAGTCTCCAGGAAAACTGAGTTTGTTTGCTTGTTTTGATGGCTTGGGGAAAAGGGCAGGCAACCACTCAGACTGCTTCCCTCCTTTCCTACTGAGCATCCCGGCTGGGGAAGGGCCTTTGCAGACTTGTGCTCAGTTCTTCTTTGCTAGAATGGCGATATTGTAGGGTCTACGTTAATTGATTGCTAAGCCTCTTCCATCCAAAAGGGTCCAACACAAACATAGTTGATGACACTGATTATGTGAATAACTGGATCTTATGGGAGATCTTCTAGGCTGCCTGCCACCCTCTCTCCACTTCCTTCGGTCTTGCTCCAGTCCTCCTAAAAAGGAGGTTCCAGGCAGCAGGAGCTAAGGAATCAGGGCTAGTCTAATATCCCAGATATTTGGCCTGCTTCTCCTGTAGATGTTCTTTTCAAACCACACAGACATACCTATCTGTGGTAGCAGGTTGTCTTAAGGTCCTTTCAGGATTCCTCTTCCTGCATGTCTCTAGCCTTAATGTCCCTTGCAAAGGGACAACCACCGTCCTCCCCCTAGGGAGGCACTACTCCGCCCTGCAGCCATGGCGGCTGCCACGGAACGGGCGAGCTGGCGGTGCTGCAGCCCACACAGCTGGGCTCTGGGGAGAGAAGTGGTGGGAACCAGGTAATGGCCCAGGAAAAGGCTGCTCCCTGAGCAGTAAAACTCGTATTCAAGCGGGCAAGTGTCTTCAGAGCACCATGGCTCCAAGAAGAGAAAGGAATGGCAGGCAGCAAAGCAAATGTGAGAGGAGACCTGCCTGGAAGCCATTGACGGGGTTTAACTCCACATGTTTGGGGGGAGTGTTTTTGTAAACCGGGAGTGATTTTTAAGGAAAGCCAAATACACGTGATGAAAACATCCTGTTTGGAGAAGCAGGGACCGCAGTCACTGCCTTCCCGTGCCGTTAGCCAGCCAGGAAAAGGCTTCAGGACCCCAAGGCTTGACGAATTCCTACAATGGGGAGCATTTCAACTCCGTACTGATCCCCAAACTCAATTTTGAAAACGGCCTCCATGGCAGAAATGTGGGCTGTGTTACCCCAGTATTTGCACGCGTTGATTGGGCTGAAATAAAATGCATCATAGTCTCCGCAAAGAAGGAAGAGGCAGGGACAGTCATAAGAGGAAGAGCAGAAAGTGCTTGGTTAATGTGGGTTATACACGAATCTGCCAAACAAGTGCTTTACACCCAAGGGGATTTCACGTGATGGGTAATTTGGTGAGAGAGCCCGAGTGTGCAAGCAGAGGGCCATCTTAGAAGGGAAGGCAGATAGCCGAATATAGGTTTTTCTGACTGAAATTAACATTTCCTTGTGATTTGCATTTGCTAATGTTCAACCCCTTAGGTACAGTCCACCTACTCCAGGTTTTTTCTCCCAATGTAGGCGCACGAGGACATTCTCTCCCGGTAAGGGCACTCACTGCTGGAGCTCAGAGGCCGCGGCTGCTTTTCCCGGGACCCGCTCGGTGCTGAGTCCGGGAAGACCGGGCCGGGCCGCGCTCTGCGCCCGCCTCTCTGGGCTGCGGGGACCGGGGCGGGAGGCTCTGGCCTCCAAGGTAATCTAATGACCCAGCGCCCGCCTGCCGGGGTTTGCCGTACCCCTCCGGGGTCCCAGCGGCCTGGAAAGAGACCTGACATGGGAAAAGGAGATAGGAACGTCCTATCTTAGACTAAAGAAGAAATCATTACACACACACACACACACACACACACACACACACACACACACCTTATTTCTCCTGTCTTCTGGGTCCGTTTCAGGGGGGAGGGGGGAGAGGAGAGAGAGAGAGAGAGAGAGAGAGAGAGAGAGAGAGAGAGAGAGAGAGAGAGAGAGAGAGAGAGAGAGAGATCGCACGTGAGAGAGGAGGAAGGGGAAAGGGAAGGCTAAACAAAAGAGGAGGAAGCGCGAGCAGGGGTCTGGAGCTCCCCTTCGGGGGCTGTTCGGCCTGTCGCCCCTCCCGCCCCCTGGCCCGGCCCGGCATTCTCGGGCGCCCCGCAGGTTGGCCGACCCGGGCTCCCCGCGGCTGAGGCCGGGAGACAAAGACCGGGATCCCGATGCTCCTCGGCGAGCGGAGCGGGGCCTCCGGGCCGCGGTCGAGGCTGAGGCCGGGGCGGGGCGCCGGGCCGCGCTGCCTCCCCGCGGCCCTCCCGGCCCTCCCGATCGCTCCAGCCCAGCCTGTCTTGGGGGCCGCCGAGTTCCAAACACGCCGCATCCCTGCAGGCAGCCCGGGAGCCCGGCCGCCGTCCTCCCGGAGGAGCCTCGGCGCGGGGCGCGGCGGCCGGGCGGCCATTTACTGCCCGGTGATTGCGCTCGGGACCGGGCTAGCTCATAAAGCCTTTCACACTCGACAATGGAGATCTTCTCAACAATTAACAAGAAACAACATAATAAAGCCATTGACAAAGGCCTCGCTATTTACTATAAATTAGGCGCTCTTTAAGAGGCCGGTGCGTAATTTCACACACTTTACAGCCGGGGCTGCCCGGGAACCCCCCGGAAAACCAGCCCGCCGCGCCTCCCCGCGACCCGGCCGCCGCACCCCTGTCCCCCCCTCTCACCCCTCTGTCCCCCCTCCCAGCACCTGCCCCCGCTCCCCGCAGGCGCAGCTTTGTTTGCTCTGCGTCGCTCCGGCCTCTCCGGCCCTCCCCCAGGTCACTGTCCCGGCTCCAGGTCATCCCTCCCCTCCCGGGCACAGGGCCCGGCGCTCGCGCGGGCAGGCAGGCCTCGGCCATCACCGCGCGGCCTGCCGCCCACTGGGGTTCCCTGGCTCGGCCTGGCGGGGCCCCTCTCCGCGGCCACACCGGCCGGCCCGGGGTGCAACCCCATCCCTGTGCCACCTGCCCCCCACGCCCGCCTTTGGAAAGCCGCATCCAGCCCTGCGCCCGGTGCCACCAAGCGGGCACGCTGGACGGGAGGAGAGCGAGGCCTGGGCGCCAAGGCGGGGAAGGGCCAGGCGGGGAGCGCGAGGGGGTGGGGGGGGCACCCCGGGGCGCACAAAGGAAGCGCACAGGGAGGGGAGGGGAGCGGCCCAGGCCTCGAGGCCCCTGCGCCAGGCGCCGGCCACCGAGCCCCGAGGCCGCGCCCTGGGGTGAGGGCTCCTCTGCCCCGGAGCAGGAGAGTCACCATCCAGAGGAGAGCCAGGCCTGGGCGGGAGGAAAGGCCACAAAGACACTGGCTTGTCACCTTGCAAAATGGCGGCATTTACACATCTTTCTGGCGGTGGTGGCCCAGGCCAGACAGCGGAGGGCTGCCCTGGGTCACCGCGGCGGCCAGGGCCAGAGATCGACGCCCGGAGAGGACAGCGAGCGGGGAGAGCGACCCTCAAGCCCGCTCGGCCCCCCAGCGGTCCCCCCTGCCTTCCGGCCGGCCTGCCAGTTCCAAACCCGCGCCAGCCAGCGGCCCTGGACACTGACCCCTGTTTACAAACACAGCCCGGGGCGGAGAGGGCGCCGGGCGCGGGGAGGAGAGGCCGCCGGGCGCCACCAGCAGTGAGGAGCGAGGAGTTGGAGCGAGAGCGCGGCCTGGCAGCTGGAAAGGACTGAACGCCTTGTTTTTGAAACTGTCAATTCCTTCAACCCCTATTGTGAGGGCTTCATGCAAAACATCTCAGGCCTTTTAAAGTGGGAGCTTGTGAGGCCTCCACAGTTTGAAAAGAAGCGAGAAAGGAGCAGGGGCCTAGGGCTTGGGCTAAGAATGATAGCGGAGCCCCCCTCCCTTTTCCTTTCTTTCTTTCTTCTTCTTCTTCTCCTTCTTCTTCTCCTTCTTCTTCTTCTTCTTCTTCTTCTTCTTCTTCTTCTTCTTCTTCTTCTTCTTCTTCTTCTTCTTCTTTTTTTTTTTTTTATAGCAAAAGAGGGTCTGCCAAACAGGTAAAATGCTTCCCTCCCACACCTCCTAGATTGGCCTTACGTCCCCACCCCCAAGCTAGTCTGCAAAATGCCCTTTGGCCTAGAGAGCAAACCAAAATCAAAGCTTGCATTAAAAATAGTTCTTCCTGGAATGGGAAAATCCAAGGGAAGACCAGGGCGAACGGGTGGACTCCCTAAGGTGAATGCCCTGTTCCTCCAGGCCAATTTCCTGAGGTTAGTGGATGGGGAGCCTTTAATTTTTACCCCTAGACTGGCTCTAGAAACTCCCTTTTCCACATCCTTTTCAGCAGGAAGTTATTTGTAAGGTGAAGCAAAACTCACCACGTTTTTTTGTCTTTTGTAGATGCTAATGCTTTATTTTTTTAATGTTTTTTTTTAAACATGAGGATTTTCATTTTCTTTGAAAGAAGAAAAAATGCTTTTGAGGAATTAGTCTACATCTCTTCCTGCGTGCAAACAAAACTATTATTCTCATATCAGCAGAAACTTCCAATTCTTGGGACTGGAACTTTGAGGAATTTCTACAATCACCCAGACACAGATAAGATAAAAATCCACACACCAGCCCATCTAGTTTGTGTTATTGCTGTTTAGTGGTGGCTCCTTGTTGTTGATTTTAAAGTAAACAACCATTATTGAGATTACTCCACTGTAATCAAGTAAGCCAGTAGGAAAGAACACCCACTTTAAAAAGTAAATCATTGAATAAGGGCAAGCTGCCTTTTCAAAAAAGGCAGATAACCTGGCTGCTGAAGACAGACTACACACATCTCTTTAAAAAATAATTAAATCTTCATTTCACAATCTTATTAGGAAACTACTTTTCTAGAAGACCCAAAATAAGCTTCTTTCCTCAAAAAGTCAGAGAAAGAGCCCTTTCCTGCATTTTCCTCATGTCTGTAAGTGTTGAGCTTTAGACACAGGAATCAACACTCAGTACTCCTGGGACCATAGAGCGCCTTTTAAAAAAATATTCTATCCCCTGAAAACATTTAAATGTAAAAATGCAATCTGTCAATGGAGGTAAATTTTGTTTTTCTCTCAATAAGGCCTACATTTTTTAACAAATGGCACATTTATAGTATCTTAGGGAATCTAGATATTGTCATTAGTCGTAAGACAACCAAAATGAAATACACTGTCCTAAGAATAATCCCCACAGCAGAATGGGCAAACAGCTAAGGGGCTACCAGAAATTGAAAGAATACCTTGTATTTGCAAGTGACTGAATACCATTTGGTACACTTTCCCGACAGAAGCCCCAACTCAAAGTTTTGCTGTGGTTGGCTGGCTTGTAGGAGTACTGTGGGGTGAAATTTGTGTTGACTACTTAATTTCTTTCCTTTTGATGGTATCACTCTGGAATGCCTGGGCCTCCATGCTGCTCATTCTCCAGCTCCCATAAACTGAAACTATTGATTCTCTGAGGACTGGAGACCAAGTGTCAAAGCTGGAAATTCTATAGGGCATATTTGTTTTAAAGCATGCTTACTCCATCTCGTGGTCCCCCACACCCAAGATCTGTAGGCTTCAAATATATTCTCAATTTATAATTTCATAACAGTGATTCCATAACCAATAAGAAAAGTCCTAGTCTAAATATAGTAGTCATCATATTTTGAACTTTCTTGACTTAGCAGTAAAGACTGGAAATGACAGGCTTCCAGTGTGTGCATGTCACTTTTTACAGATTGACTTTATAAGACAACTCATTGCACCCAATTTCTGTGTTGCCTTCCAAGGAGGAAAGAACGCAGACTGAGAAGCCAATTGTTCAGCTTTCTGGTGCTTTAACTGTAACTTGTACTGGTCTTTGGAATTATGCACAAACATGAAGTCAAGGATAACAGCCCCCAATTTTTTGCTTTTACCATATCTATCATGCCAATAAAAAGGGATCCAGTGCACTTACATCTGGCAACATTCAAGAAGGAAAGAAAGGGAGGCAGTTCAAAGCATCTGTTTACTCCATCCAAATGTATTTGGATGCAGGTATGCTCAGCCTCTGTCTTTTACAATAAGAGTCAAACCACAGAGCATATACAGCAATTAGGGCTGAGATCATCCAGATCTATCTGAAACATTTATAGACAAAAGAAAAGTTTCAAAGGGAGTAGGAATTAAAAGGTTAAGGGGGAAAAGAGACTGAATTTCCATGAGAAATAGTGACTTAAATTCACACAGTAAACATTTCATTGATGTTTTGTTTTGTTTTGTGATTTATGATCTATAGATGCAGCTCCTTAAGTTTCAGATGGCAAAGATCTGAGATACATAATTTGTGGGGCTAAGGGAGGTGGACAAAAATTTATTAGATGCAATTTTCATTAAAATAGCAGTTGATCTCTGCTTCACTTTCTTAAACCTGAAAACTTTTTGCACTTGCTTTGTTCCAAGTTTATAAAGTTTTGTCCTCATTTAGGAAGAAATCTACCAGTGATTTGCACAGAAACTCGCTGGCATCATCGGTTGGTATTACAACAAAACACTACACCCAATAAATGCATTTCTTTCAGGCAAAAACATTACAAGTGAAAATGTCAACAAAACCATTCATTTCTGTTAACCCTTTTTCAATCTGGAATAAGTAGAAATGTATGGAACCAGGAATTTTAAACAGTGTTTTTAATTGAAAATAAAGCTAAAGCATGCTTTTCAACAGTGCAAATTTCCATAATTTTGATTTACTGCTTCCATCATCACAACATAGTACACCAGCATGGCCCTTACCAAGGGCTAGACCCTAGCCATTTGCATGTTGAACTACTTTGATTTTAAGTGCAAACATAGATAGTCACCTCTGATTGTCACTTGCAGTAGAAACTCTCCTGCTCTATACACAGGATGGTCTGAAAACAGAAGTTTAGAGAGATGCAGAAAAAGTAAAATGTAATAAAATCCAAGTGCCTGAGTTCTAGTGCCCTGAAATAACTGTTATTTTTGATTTGGGGTATTCTTACAACTGTGACTCATTTTACTTTTCTTGGGAATTTTTAATGCTTTGACACCATGAGGAGTCAGACCATAAAATATCCTGCCCTTAAGAGAAATGTTTTAATTGTTTTGCAAGTTGAATTTTAATTGTTTTGCAAGCATGAGGAGTCATGTTCATAGTACAAGGTAAGCAGGATGAAGGTACTAGTCACCTTATTTAAAACATTTGGGTGAGAACACAAAAAGGTCTCTTCCAATTGCAAGGAGTGGCTATAAAAGTAAAATCACACCCTTTACAAAAGAAATACAATCTCATATTTATTTTACTCAGTATATATGAGGCAGCTTTTACCAGCATTCAATCAAGACTCCCAGTCTTTCCACTCAAAAAAGGAAAAATTAAGTGCAACTACTTTTGGAGAGGGAATGAGGGGAGAAAAGGAAAAAGACACCCCACAAAGGAGCTCCAGAAGAGAACATTTTGGGCTCACAGAAACTTCTTGCTACCTCACTGTGTAACTATGTAACCTAGCAAACTTTCACTGAATGAAGTTACACTTTCAGGTCTGAAATCTAGTGCATAAACTTAATGGCTCATTGTAATATTTATTATTCAACCTTTTGACATTTATTTGTAGCAGTTGAATTGAGGTACCGGGTGCATTATTAGCATTAAAACAGTAAAGTGTTCCAGCTCTACCATAATAACTGAGTTTTACTTGAGTCTTTAGCCTGAAGTAGTCTGTGGAATGTAAACCAAGCATTCTCCCACCCCACCCCCACCCTACTAAAAAAAAAAAACACACACAAACCCACAATGGGAAAAAAAAAAAAGTAATCCGATTTCTGTCTTCAAATGTGATAAACCAGGACTCCAAAAGGGGTGTAACATATTAATGGACTTGTACAAACCATCCTGTGCAGTTTACAACAAAAGGAAGGTAATATGGTTCAAGAAAATATCTTCCAAAACACTTTTATGAATTAAATTTCCTGAATTTGTGACTAGGTGGAAGAGGTATTGCAGAACCGCCCAGCTGCCATTTCCAGATAGGATGGGCCTTGTGAGGAGGTTGGGAATCCTTAGTGGTGTTTAAGGAATATGCAGGCCACAAATCCCCATCCTTCCCAATAGTGAGTGATGGTGGACAAGGAAAATTTGCCATGAAATTAAATGGCCTTTTCACTGCTGACGCTACATTGCTGGCTACCTTTTTGCGTCTGTTTATAACTGTAAAATCATCCAGTGTTCCTTCATGTGTCTCAGTTTTACCTGTAGGACGAGGACTTCTAGCTGATTTCAAATTTGGTTTGACTGTAGGTGTCTGAAGTACAGGTCGCTTTCCCAGGACTAGTGTCCGGTAATTTTTTCTCACCCTGGCACCAAATTTGTATTCCCCATCCTCAGGCTTTGGAGAACCTAAAGTGCATGACAGGCCCTGTCTCAGAGCCAGTGGCTTTAAGGAAGGAGTTTCTTCTCCAGGGCATGCAAACCCCTCCTTGGCTGTGGTGAGCAAGGCATCCTCCTCTTTACTTCCAGTCACACTGTAAAACTCACCCTTTGTATCATTGCACTCGCACTTTAGCTTATTGGTAAGAAGGTCAGGTTCATATTCTTCATTAGCACTATTGTCTTCAACTTTGATTTTAATATTGTGCAGAAGTGGCAGTGTCTTGTCGCCTGTGTCAGCACATGAATTCTCTGCTTTCGTTGCTGCTGCTGCTGCTGCATCCACTCCAGGATCAGTCTGCAAAGAGGGCAAATCCGTAGCAAATTCAATACAAGGGGTGATTTTGGAATCTTTTTCTGAATTTGCTGCTGCTAGTGAGGAATCACGGTTGAAGAACCTAGCAGCTATTGTGTTGTTATCTGCACAGTGTGCAGGAGTTGCTTGCAGGCATTTCCTAGTTTCTCGGAGTATTCTTTGTTGTGGAAATACATTGTTTGTCTTTGGGCTAGGTGAAGAGGCCCCCTCTGCCAGGCAGTTAATTGTCAGGTCAGTTCTCTTTACAGTACTGGGAATTTCAGAGTGTGGGAATGTAATCGCAGATACCCTATCGTTCCTTATCTCTGTGAAACAACTCCCCAGGCTGGCCGGGCAGTACACCGGAGACGCTTTGGGAGCCCAGCTCTGCAGAGGCCATTCCTCCGCTGACTCCGCTTTGACACTGCTCTTGAGGTCGGGAAGTCGGCCGGCATCCTCGAAAGCAGCGGGGTGGGTTGCAGCGGCGGCGGAGGCCAGATGGTACAAGAAGTTGGCCTGCGCCTGCACGCTGGGCGGCTTGCAGAAGCTGGTGCGCCTGAAACGGATGCTCTGCACTGACACTTGGCTGGAGCCAGAGCTGGAGTCCGATTCTGAGGATGAGTCCTCCTCCTCCGAGCTGACTTCACTGGAATCCGAGGCCCCAGTGACCCCCTCCTCTTCCTCCTCCTCTTCCTCCTCCTCCTCCTCCTCCTCTCCCTCCTCCTCTTCCTCCGAGGACACAGAGTTGCTGGAGCTGGACAAACTGGAGCCAAAATCGGAGTCGTTGGCTGCGTGGTCCGAGTAGGAGCTGGACTCCGAGTCGCTGCTGCAACTCTCGGGAAAGCTGTCCAGATGGGGCTGTGGCCGTGGGTGATGCGGGGGGTGGTGACTCTGCAGCGGCTGCTGGGCCCGGTGGTGGTGGTGGTGGTGGTGATGGTGGTGGTGATGGTGGTGGTGGTGGTGGTGGGGAGGCGGGCAGAAGCTGTTAACCAGATGAAACCTCTCCAGGCAAGTGGCCCCGGGGGCCGCCGCCGTGGCCGCTTTGGCTTTGTAGGACCTGGGCAGCAGCAGCAGGCGGCGGGCGCCGGCGTGGGGCGCGAGCAGGCAGTCCTTGGCGCCCCCGCGCCTGCGCCGGCAGCGGTAGGTCGGGCTCCCCGGGCCGCCAGCGGCGCCCGCCGCCGCCTTGGGCGGGGGTCCGGCCGAAGCCTGGTAGTAGGCGGCGGCGGCGGCAGCGGCGGCGGCGGCGGCGGCGGCTGCGGCGGCGGCGGCGGCCGGGTGCTTGCTGCACAGCAGAGTCCGAAAGTAAGCCGGGTCCGAGTGGAAGGCGACGTAGTTTCCCTGGAGCGGGGCAGTTTCATAGTTTAGAGGGGGTTTGCTCGGCGAGCGCACGATCTCCGGGTAGTGCGAGGCCGGGTATTTGCTAAAAATCTGAGGTAGATGGGCGGCGGGGCGCGCGGCGGCGGCGCCCGGGCGCGGGGCCTGCGCGCTGATTGGCAGCGGCCGCGCGGCTCCCAGGCGCCAAAGTTGGTGCCGGTCCCTCCAGCAGGCCGGGCGGGGGCCCGCGGCGGCGGCGGCGGCGCGCTCCGGCGGCGCGGGCGCCTCGGTGGCCGGGGCCCGGCCGGCCCTCCTGCGCTTGGTCTTGAGAACCCGCTCGGTCTTGCAGGAGGTGTACAGCGCTTCCACGTCTTCCCGGGAGATGAGCGTGCATTTGGCGGCGTGGAAGGCGATGCTGTTGATGGCCTTGAGTTTCCGTAACTCCTCCAGGTCGCAGTGGTGCTTCTTCACTTTCAGATGATCCATGCGCTTGTGCACGGTCGTCCTCGGGATGTTTTTCAGCAGATCCGTGAAGACTTGGGAGAGGGCAAACATTTGCTTCCCTTTAATGATGAGGTAGCCGAGCCTCACGCCATCCACCTCTTCAAAACCTGACTTCAGGTCTCCCATCTCGGGCACTAAATGATCCCCACCATTTGCAGCAAATATATACGTGACGCATACATACACATGTATGTATGTTAATCCTCCACCAGATGCTGCGTGTGTCTCAAGGCATCCTGCTAATAAAATAACAAAGACTGTTATTCCCGGCTAAGGGAGTGCCAAACTCTAGGCGAAATTATTGGGGGGGGGGGGGGGGGAGGAAAAACACCAAAAGAAAAAAGAAAAAAGAAAAAAAGCCATAAAAAAAACAACAAACGTGAGATTACACTAACTTGATTCTTGCCTTTTTGCTTTTTTGGTTTTCGTTTTTTTAAAAAGAGAGGGGAAAAACCATCCGGTCTCTGATCTGCCAGTGTGTTAGTGTAAGTCCCAGATGCAGATCAGTACCTGGGCCCCTCTGTTTCTTCCTTCTCCATTGGAGCACTTTGATAATGGAATGTGAAGGGAGAAAGAGAAAAGAAATGCAGCTGCTATTCCCGTCGCTGCTTTAGCTACAAATAAAATGACAGAGTGAAGTGAGCTCGTCCGGAGACACCTTCATCAATTAATTCCCCTAAAGCCAACGCTGATTGGACACTCCTGACAGGTGATGCAATAAAAATTGATATTCCACCCCTTCCCCCCAAAATCTCCCACTAATTAGCATACCCTTATACTGCCACCTCCCCTCCCAAAGTAAATAATACAGTTGGTATATAAATCTTTCCATTAAACTATCGGAGCTCAGAAACAGCCTGACTCACAGACTTCATCTGAACCAGAGTGTGTACGCTTAAAAAAAAAAAAGGAAAAAAAAAAACCCCTGTATATTCGCCTTTAAAGGAATACTGCCTATTTTTTTTGCTTTATTTGCATTTTACTGCTACTGCTATTATTTCAAAGAAAAGCATTTTAAAAACATTATCGAGCTTAAATAGATACACCCACCCCCCCTTTTCCTTTGGAAAATGGAGCGTAAGTGAAAATGTGCAGAATAAGCCTGGTATTTCCCTTATGGGAATGGGGAAGGAGACCAGCTACGAGCTCCAAAGTTAAACCCACGCGGCGAACCGCCCCAGTATGGACTTACGTTTTGAATTTCGCTCGATTTTCCTTTTTTTTTTTTTTTTTTTCCTTCTGCAATACTTTTTTTTTTTTTTACAACCAGGAACAAAGTTATTTGACCAAGGAAGCAGTTCAAGGCTCCAGCTCCAAAACACTGTAACAATTCATCTGGATTTGGGTTCTCTGCTAGGGGATGGCGTAAGGAGGAGGTAGTTTCACGTCAGACCCATAACAAAGCATAGATAAGCTAGAAATGTGTACTCTTTTCACAATTAACCAGGCTGGACTGGGGACGGGATCCAGAGTCCCCAGCACAAGCCTTTGCCTAGGTGCTGTTCACCGCAGGTCAGAATTCCAGGAGCTGCTTGTTTCTGCAGCAAAGAAAAGAAAATGTAAAACGCCCAAAGTACTTCCAGAGGTTTTACGTAGTAACAGTGAAAAGAAATGCTGATGTACAATGCAGACTATTTCAATAATCTATGATGCTTTTAATTGGTAGTTTAAATGAATCTTCCACAATTTTCATTTTTTCCACACGAAAGCCAAGCATCTGCTTTTTAAAAAAAAAATCACTTTGGATGAATATCAATATTGTTTAACCTCTTCTTAGTCAAATTTAGGCATATATTGGTGTCATTTTCAAAGATATCCAAAATATTGCCAAATGAGAGCAAGGGTCTTTCCAGTTGTGTTACCACAATCCCAAGGCGGTTTGTTGGCTGCTTTGCAAAATTCGGCAAAATCTTCTTAACCCTTAGATGTTTGCAACTACAGCATAAATATAACCCATGCATTTATGTTTCCTTGTTCTTCCAAAAGTAGACATCCGTGAGGTCAGAAGAATAAATGGATATTTCTGAGCCTGCAAGAAAAAAAAATGTACAATAATTTCTTTCTTCATGTTCAGAAGTTCCAGCTTTCATTCCTCTGGTCTGGCTAGCAAAAGCAGATATAGCTCCAAAACAGAAAAAAGATGAAAACTGAGGAATCTTTACAAAAAGGTAGTTTGCATGAAATCTCAGCCATAGTGCCCTACCCCCACCCTTAGATCCCTTGTAATGTCCCAGGAATTTTGAAGAGAATTGGGAATTTCAAGAAGTGCATCCGGAAATTAAGGAAGTCTATTTAAGAGAGTCTGTAACTCAGAGGTTGGGATTTGAAAAGTCAGCCCTGGACTACTGTTGCACTCAGCACAGATGTAATCGCCGCTCTTCAACTTAATCAATGTGTGTACAAACCGCGATGTCTAGTTCTTGCCTTTGAAATCTAAGGCTAGCATTTCCATCCAAGAAATCAGAGCTACAGCAAATTACATTTTTGTTCCTTGAATGAGAGAAGGATCATTGAATGGATCTCGTGATATTTCAGGCTTTAAACGTAACCCACAGGCGGCAATGAACAATGCCTCGTCACAGCTAATACCATCCACCGAGTTGGCTTTCTTTTGCATCTGGATCCATCACACCGCGTTTTTCTCTTTCACTTTCACAGGAGGGAAAATGCACAAGGTTTAAGCAGAAAGCAAAGTTTCCAGGAAAAGCAGATGCTGATTTTGTTTTTTAAGGTAGAATAACAACAGCCTTTCAATTGCTAGCAACAATGTTTTAAAATCCCTCCTGATGCACTTATATACTGCCAGCCTCTCCCTCCCACCCAACTCCCATCCAATTCCCCTCCCCCAGCCTTAAGATTTCGACCCGAGTCAAACAGCCAAGAAATAGTAAACTCGGGAAAAGCCTTTGAGAAGATATTACAATAGGTTGCCTACAGCGGTGCCCCCACCCACGCCTTTTCTTCTTTTCTTTTTTTTTTTTTGGGGGGGGGGCAGGTAGTTCTAGTTCTCGATTCCTATTTAGATTTGCGCGCCTGCGCGCGCACTAGGCCGCGCGCGCGTGCGCGCACACGGACACACACACACACACACACACACACACACACACACACACACACACACTCCTATTCCTCCTGCATATGGCAACGTGATTTAGTAACCGTTTCAAAATTACCTTCTTTCCCTCTCCCTTCCTCTCTTTCAATCTTTAAAATACTGACAATATAGATGGTTTTAAAAACTAGTTGAATATTAAGTATTTTTTTAAAACTAAGGGTACAATTTGGTGTGTCAAAAGGAGAAATATAAAGGCTGGGATACTTGGGAATTTGTCTAGACATACAATTTATAGGAATATCTTTGTATGTGCACCCAGACACCTTTACACTTATACATTTTTAATACTCCTATTACACATCTTTCTTCTTGTCTAATACATTCTTTTGTTCCTTTAACTTCCCCCATCGTTTTGTGTGTGTGTATGTGTGAAGGCGTGAGCACACGCATTCACACACATACACACAGAGAGAATGTGACAGACAGCTTTCTTGTGGCCATCAGCCTACGTTGCATATCCGGGGTCTTCTCCAGGCACATTGGGGGTCGATCCCCATAAAAAGATCTAGGAGAGGCCCCTGAGCGCTCACACATGAAAGGCAGGGGACTTTAAGATGGATTTGCATGCACACAGGGGAGTTCGATCAATAGCTACCAACATTTATGGCTTAGATTATTAATGTGAAAGCTGGCCAAAAGAATGGGGATGAAAAATTAAAGGTGTCTGGTATCAATTATGCTTAAAGTTATGCAATAATTTACTTACTTTGCCTGGATGTGCAGATCCAGATGTATAAAGTACTATTCTTCAAAAGCCAGGGGATTTCTTTGATAAATTTGTTGACCATGTCAGCCGCCTCTACAATCAAAGATGAACCCAATTCAGATGATGGACTGTATTCAAATTCTTTTTTAAGAAAAGATATATCAACTTCTATGTTTCTCAAACTCATATACATATGTTGGTGGATATGCCCAAATTAACATTATGTGCATATCCACCTCTGAGGGGCCAGGGAATTACTTATTGAGAATTTAGGTATATATAATGAAAGGCTTTGAGTTTGTAAGTTAAATGTGATTATTTACTCTGTGGGGAATGCATAATCTATATACTATAATAAAAAGTATTTTACCTTTGTAAACAAAGCTGCTTGCTAAAGAAGAACCCTCTGTGACAAATACAGATAGAAATACATTCTATATGTTAACTTCTACATTTATTGTAAAAAAAAATCAGCACTTTCAGGTTTTAAAGGGATGGGTATGAAGATACGAACATATTTGTCTTTACTTATCCTGTGTGAATGTGCCAAATTTACTTTTAGATGATCTATTTTGATTTTTTTTAAACCGTATTTCATGTTTAAATACCAATGCAATTCAGTATGACCTCTTTCTTCTGGGGCAAAGTAATGCACACAACATTTACAGTCTTTTAAATGGTTAGCTGGGAAATGCAATAGCAATTTGCAGAAATAGTTTACTAATGGGGAAAGTTATTTTGAAAATCTGAAGGAAAACCTAAGAGTACTTTTGTATTTCTACACTACAACTGTCAAATAATCAATGTACTGAAGAGCATTAAAATAATCCTTTTCCCTCCTAGCTTTCATCCATACATACGTAATTTAAATGAGGATCACCACCCCCTCCTCCCCCATCACTGCCTAAATCTTCACCATATACGTTTGTTTTAAAGATTGCTGGACACATTTTGTTCAGAGTGAATTCAGACAGAAAAGACCAGGGAACATCACAAAGGCTGAAACAATGTATGTATACTAGTTAGGAAAATAAAAGCAGCTTTTTGTGCTGTTAGCCAAAAGTAACCATAATACTTATAACAAAGACTAAAATTATAATAATTCAAAGCCTCATATGGCAAAATTAATTGAGGATATAGGACAATAAAAGCTTGTGTGATAGCAATTCTTACCTAAATTTACCTAATCTCACATGTTTGCTGTTTAGGAGGAGAACTTGAGAATAGAGGAGGAGGAAATGGCTAAATTAAAAAACAAAACAAAACTTAAATTATAACTTAGTATATTTTCCTAAATTTTTTTCTTTTTGTCTCATCCATACAAGTCATGGCAAATCTCCAAAAGGGCCCATCCTTCTGTTGTGAGGCATTTAAAAATCCTGTTTTTAACAGAAGTTTGGGACACAGTATATGCCATGTTGTGTACTGACCCATAATCAAAATGCAATGACCTTCTACCCTTTTTTTGCCCCCTGACTCATCTTGAATTCTATGCAGCCTTTATAAATTTGCAAATCCTTGGAGGTAAAGGTTTTTTGTGTGTGAGCCTTTGTTCACAAAAAAAAGCCCTAAGAGTGTGCTTTCTGAATTAGACAAAGGTGAAGCAACAAACCTTAATGGACAAAATTTTATACAGGTGAGCAACTCTTCATATAACATATATTGCAAGCTAAAAAGCAGTTATAAACATGGGAGACTAGAAAGTTATAGATTGCATTAAATGAGTGTGGTACAAATCACTTTCATGATGTAAAAAATGGTTAGGCCAAATTTTCCTGTTTTCCTCATCTCAAGGGCCATGGGGGACCCAGTGACCAAGAAAGGAATGAGGGATAGTGGAGAAAGAGGGGAGGGAGGGGGAAAAAAAGGAGGGAGACCTGATCTGAATCTACAGGCACATTTCCTTATCTTTCCTGCTATCAGCTAGTTTAAAGGACACCATAATTATGATGGTGATAAAACAATGCCTGCTCATGTGTGCTGAATAAATAATGTTTACAGCTCAAGAATCTTTTAATTCCAATTAAATGCTATCAAAGAAAAGCCAGTTTTCCTACTGCAACAGCCTTTCCCCCCAATTATCTTGTTTTGTTACAATATTTTCCTATGAGACACAAGGGTCTCTTCCAATTGATCCCGAATATATAAAAAAAAAAAAATCTGAGAAAGTGGAGTTCAACTTTGATATATTATATAACACACAAATATCAAGAGCCACAATTTATTTGTGTTGCCGCATTTTTTTTCTTTTTTCCACAAGGGCCAAATGTGTAGAAACGGAAGTGATGACACTAAGTGTTGAGGCCTACCTATGGGCTGCTGAAGCCATTCTGAAATTCTGAGCACCCATGAGGGGAGAAGGGAAAGACAAGACGTGTGGGGCCTGGTGGGGCCTGATGGCCTCTGTAAAGGGAATCCTCTGGTTCTGTTCCCCTGGCTTCAGCCCAAATCCTTCTAGGAGCACTGGAGCCAATCACTGCCTTCCACTGCTGCAGCTACTGGGCGCACACAAAAAAGCGGGAGATCAAAAAATCCCAAGTTCACATTTATGGATACACAAGGATCATTTCATATTCATGACTTAACCAAATCACATCATAATCAGATTTAAACAAGGTTTGGACAGGAATGCCCACCAGGCTGGGCACTACACACTGACAAACATCACATACTAACCATGAATGTCGCTTTTTTATTTTGAAATCATAGGGTAAAAATGGAATCTTTTAACTTTGAAAAGCTTAGTTTTTGCTTTTGAGGCAAATTTTACAGTAAAAAAAAAAAAAAAGGCCTTTCAGTCATTCCTCAACATTATATTTCAACTTCTATTTTCTTTCTTCCTCAATTCTAGTAGTGTTTTGTTTGTTTTAAAAACATACATGGCATAACAAACATTATGGAAAACACACTCGTTCAGTTAAATGCCCATATAAACCTGTCTTTTACCACATCTAAGTAGTACATTGCTAAGAATAAGACTTTAAAAAAAACTTTCTTTGAACAAAGATCTAATATTTCTTGGTAAATTCTATTTGGTGATTGTGGTATAAAAATAAAGTGGTAAGAAATGTCAAGGTATTTGTAAGTTTGTTGGGTAGACGCAGGCCCCTTTCCTATTGAAAGTTTAGAGCTCCAATACCCTCAATTCTACAGGCAGAATTAGGATGGACTTAGAGGGTCCTAAACGTGACCGATTCACTAAGGCGGGGGGCTACAGCTTGCAGCAACGTGCTCGGCAACTTAATCCTACGCTAAAAGAGGGCAGAGAGCGAAAAATCATGAAATACAAACTCTCTCCACATCCGTAGTTACTTTCAAGGTGGATTGTGTATTTTCAGGCTGATGGGAACGTCTGTTTTTTGGAGCAAAAAGAAGAGAAGGTAAGTGTTTGTCTTTGTATTCACCAGTTCCTAGAGAAACAATGAAAGAACAAAGGGAACCACTTCTCCATCTGAATATTTTCTGTTTCTCCCTCCGTTTTAAGCCAAAAATCTTTCCAGGGGGATTCACTTTCCTGTACCTTAAGTAGTTATTGCTAGGCTTGTTGAACTGAGGATGAGAAAAAAGTTGGGCAGCATTGTAAATGCAGACTAAATAACGATAATAAAGACATGCTGTGGCGACTCTCCACCACGCCGGTGGCAACAACTCACAGCACGAGTTGCAAGATGCATGAAGGCAAAGCCAAAGAAATAACCTTTGCTTTGCAGTTTTCGGGCTCAAGCCTTGAAGTCACCTTTCTTGCTGTCTGAAAGGCTTTCTGCGCACAAAATGTGTAGGTACTGCCTATGGGGAGAGATCAGTGTACTGTTTAGGTTGGAAAAAAAAATGTCCAATGTTGCTATCTGGAAAATAATTTTTAAAAAGAAAAGGGGATTCCAGTCTGGAGACGCTACTTTTTTGCTGATAGAGGAAATGGCAGCGGTGGCTGGACAAGGAGAGAGATTCGTATTGAGATGTATTTGCTTTTGGGGTATGGTGGTTACCGGCAAGCCTGTTTTTGTGGGTCTGGGTGGCTGAATGAGTCAGTGACCGAGTGCCGCCGGCATTATATAAATGGATCAGTGTGTGGGGGGAGCCCCCTACACCGTCCAGCACGTGAAATACATTTTTTACTGCCCCCCAAGCGACGAGCCAGACCCCCTCCCCCAAACGCGTATATTACCTGCCCAGTTACAGTGTGACACATGTTTATGTTTATAGTCCTGGTTTGTAGTAGTGTCAAGAGCCGCGGCGAGAGGAGGAGAGAGGAGAGGGAGGAGTAAATGCAACCACCCCCACTTGTTGTTAAAGCAAATTTACTGCGTTATTGCAAGCCGGTACGGGGGGCTGGGGCGCGAGCGGGGAGGCAGGGCTGAGTCGGGTTGTGTGTGCTGGCGGCGGCAGGAGGGGGTGGGGTCAGGCGATCCGCGCGGAGCTCCCCTCTCCCCGGCCCGGGAGCCCGCAGGCCCGGCGAGCACAGCAGCTCCCCCCGCTCGCCGCGGCCGGTGGGGGCGGGGCGGGGGCTCGCAGGCGGCTCCGGGGCCCTGACCTCTGACCCCGGCTCCTCGCCGCGCTCTCCTGGAGCCGCGCGGCCACTTTTTACCCAGGATGCCTCGCGCGGGCCGTGCTCGTGCCGAGCTCGAGTCCTCCTTAATCCTCCCGCGCCGGTCCCATCCCCTCCCCCGCCCCCCGCCAGCCCCGGGGGAGGGTTCTCCGGCGGGGAACCCCCGCCCCGCCCCCACCCCGAGCCCGGCCCTGGCGGCCGCGGGAGCGGGGCGGGCAGCACGGCTTCCCGGGGCCGGGCCGCGGGGGAGGGGACCGGCGGGAAGGGGGCCGGCGGTCCTGCCCCTTGGCCGGCCGCGGCCTGGACCTGTTGACTCTATTGGTCAGGCCGGTCCCGCGCCTTCTCCCCGCGGCCGCGGCCCGAGCCTTTCCGCGGAAGCCGGCGGAGGGAGTGGAGTGAGGATGGCTGTTCTCTCCGCCTCCCGCCAACTTTGTGGTGGTGTGTTTTTTTTTCCTTGGGGGACAGAAAAGGCAAAGTCATCTCCGCTGCCCCATCTTGCTCGTCCAGTCGTGCGCGGCCCCCGGCCCCGGTCCCCGCGGTTTCAGTCTCCCCGCTCCCTCAGGCCCGCGGCTCCGCTCGGAGGCCGAGGGCGCTCGCCGGCCCCGTGGTGCCGGCCCGGCCCGGCGCGGCCCGGCGGGTCCCCGCGAGGCGCGCTGCTCTCCTTCCCCAGACGCGCCCGGCCCGCCTTCCCCTGCCCCCGCGGCCTGGGGGCGGGAAGGGGGCCGGCCTGCTGCCGCCGCCGGACGCGTCCTCCGCTCCGGCCGAAGTGCGCTGGATGGAGCGTTTACAATAACCGTGTTTAAATAAAAACAGGGGAAAGGAGAGTCCCTTGCTGTTCAGAAGACATCGGGGCGTTAAAAAAATACGAGAAGCGTTTAAAGTTAGAGCTTTTATTCCATTTGCTGTATTGACTCTAGATTTGGGGTTTCCTGAGGAGTATTACCCGGTGGGAAATGGCAAATTAAAATTAAAGTTGGAAGTAAGACATCTCCACCACTTCCGAAAATAAAAGGGAAATTGAAAAAAAAAACACACAAAAAAAAACCCCACAACATAGGAATGGGACGGCGGGAAGGAGGCTGCGGGAAGCCGGGGTGGCGGGCGGCAGCGCCGGGGCTGGGGGCCGGGAAGGCGGGCGGCGGGGAGGCCGCGGGGGCGGGGGCCGGCTCCCCAGGCGCGGCCGCTCCCATTGTCTGGCCCTCGCGCCGCGGTCGCACTGGCGCGCACTTCCCGAGGGAGGGGTCCTGCGGCCCAACTCGACCGCCACCCCCCTCCCCGAACCCCCAGGCCGGGCCGGGCCGG